TATTTTTCTTTACCAAAAACCTATCACAGAATTTTTATACTTGCGTCGGTTTGGAATAACCTGACTACAAATGTATAGGTAATACAGGAGATTTACAAGTTTGTAACAAGTTTGAGACTGGTATATCAATTAAAAAATAGCAACCTCTTAGTGGGACACGTGGTATAAGCTTATATATTAATTTAAAAAGGTTAAAAAAGTTTTTTAGTTTTGCTTATTGACCCTTCATAATATGCAAGATGTAGTACAATCTGAAGGAGTTGCTCAACTTTAATTGAACCAAGAGAAATCACGTGAGCACAGTCTGCAGTGTACAACCAGTTTTCAAGGCTGTCCAAGTAGCGTTCAGTGTTCATACATACAGTTAACCAATCTTCTCATACCATTCTTACGGGTCTATTGTCCTCCTTTGGTGTCCACACTTCTGTTCATTTGCAAATATCAATGAATGCCTTGAAACTTTTAAAAGTAAACAAAAGTGCCATCTATTAATTTTATTATTAGTTAAATTGTTTAGTTACAAAAAGGAAAGACATAAAAGGGCATTTAAGTCGACTGATCAGATGATATTAGGGTCAACATAAAAGAATATAGAACAAAAACTCAGAATCTTTTTTTAAGTACTAATAACTTAATTAAAAATTATAATTATGAGCTATTCTGTTATTTTTAATGCTGGTTTCAATATTGTATAGTTTTAAAGTTTTTTGAGGTTTTCTACACTGTCAACTACTCTTAATAGCTGTTTCATTTTGTCACCGTAACATACATATTTAAGTACAGTATGGTGGAATTCAGAAATATTTAACAAAACCTATTTTCCCATATTTAATTTTTCCCCCAAATTAAAATACAAATTTTATTACAACCTACTCCAATATGTTAAACTGTTGGTAAACACAACACTTGAATGTTGGCTACTGCATCATGCCTCAGGAGATAGTGTGCCTGGTAGAATGGCCTTGCTCTGATATTATGTCAACAGGCCAACTGATGCAATCACTTAACTAGCCTCCCAGATAACACTTCTCAAATTGTCTTACTTAAAAATAAAAAAAATAAAAATAGTTGCGTACAACTTTTTAGCAAAAACTTTTAGCAAAAAAAGAAATGGTCTAGTTTAAAAAAAAATTTAACATACTTATTGAATGTTATCTCTTCAGCGTAAATGTATGTTTGTGTTGTTGTTTGGGGAAATAAAAAGTCTAAACCATTTCCTGCCAAAGACATTTGTAAACACAAAATGTAAAAAAAAATAGATGTAATTAATATTGTTGTGTTAATTTCATGTATTTAAGGTCTGAAGTCACTGTACAAGCTACATAAAAAAGATATAGGTAATGATTTGGGTTTATTACTTAAATGAGTATATTACTGGGAGCAAGATGGTCTAGTGGTAGAGAGATTTCTCTTTCTTGTCCGGTACAAATTTTGCAATCAATTTTTTACTAACTTCCTGATGAGCTAGAGACTTGAAACTTGAAACATAGCTCACAAATGGAGGACAATGCAATATTATATCATTTAATTTTCATATTTCCCCTGGGCTACGCCCTACGCCCCATGGGCTTCCAAATTTTCCATGTTTACATTTTGAAAGAATGTAAACGAGCTGGTGGCCCGTCCTACGTACGGGAATCGAGCTGTCAACTAAAACGGAATAATTCAGAACATCTAGTTTACACGCATAGACACAAATTATGGCAGTTGTAATAAGAAGATCACCTTATAAACAAATGTAACGTGACCAAATATTTATTCTGTTCGAATATAGACCTAAAATATGGCGATATGCATTTTAAATCCGATAATTTTACCATAAAACAGCATTTGTGTCGATTTGAAAAATCTTGAAGTGAGATTGGCGACCGATTCACACTGGTTTTGAGTAGAGTAGCTACATGCCACCTCCAATTGCATACTGTACTGCTTATGTACTTACCGTACCTTATCTTACCTCCGTGACCACTGAAACTTTTATGAGGATTCTCTTCTATCACCTGCATCTTTAAAATTTAGATCCCAGTCTGAGGATGCATTTCATAACTTGATATTTCCCGTCTATTGTGTGGTACTCCTTGGAATATACTTTTTAAAAGTTTATGCACAGCCTGTCCACCCAAGCTTTACCTACTTCTGGAAAGCATCCCTGTATTTGGGTGTTGACACATTTCTCTTAGCTCTCTGTTCTTTTTTATTTCGACCACCGGGCCGTTATCTTTCTGGTCTGTATATTTTCTCTGCACTTTATTATCTAACCCAGCATTATAGTTTTTCGGTTCTTTGGTCAGTGCCCAAGTTTCTGAATCATCAGTACTACGGGGATAGTTGGTATGGTATGAGTCGACTTTGGTTTCTGCTGCACCCTGCAGTTTATTTGACAGTTTTATAGAGACCTACTACACCGATTGACGCTTTCATTATTAACTAAAATTTTAGTATGCCGACATACTCACATTCAGACATTCAGAAAAAGAAGTATCAACACGTAAACCACTTATATCTTAAACAATTAAGCGATAAACTGCTCAAAAAATATTTCCCAAATATGAGTTGAAATTTGCAATGCATAAACTAAATACTTACACAGATTGCATTTATGACAAAACTTGATTAAACGCAAGTGTTTGAGATGTTTAGTTCAAAATAACACATTTCCTGATAACGCAGATCCTTCACAGTAGGGTAAAACTACCTACATTTTAAATTGAAATAGTATGTAGGCAAACACTAACGAACAATATTTTTGTAAACAAACAACTCGTAACATAAACATTTCAATGACAGTTATAAACCAGCTGTTACTGTTAGTTAAACCAGCATTGAAAATACTTTAAATTGCTAGCGTCGTCTGCTAGACTTTAAAAAAATTAAAACTTAATTTCTAAAAAACTGAAACCCTAAACTAAAATTATGGCTTCGAAATTCCCTAGTTCTCAAAATTATCTTTCTTTCAACACAAAAATCATGAAAATCCGTCAAGTGGTTGATTCAGAATCGTGAAATAAAAAAACCCTGTTTCGTTTTAATATTATAGATATATCAATTAATTTAAGTCAGCTGTAAATACTTAAATTTGACAGTTCGAAGAGCAGAGGTTAAGAGGTACAGGTTTCGAGTTTGGTTTTGTATTAACAGGCCATATAAAATAGATTTAACATATTTACACATTAAAGACTAAAAAGTAGAAAATCTATTTTACTTATTTAATACGCAAGCAGGTTTTTTGTGACAATTACTCCTCCAAAACTACTGAACCAATTGACATGTTTTTGGTGTCATTGGAAAGAGTGTAACGTGAAGTTGTGCAGGAAACTTTCTTTTTACAGAAATAATTAGGGAGTCAGGCCCTGGGGCCCTTTAAAGTTTCGTATTTCTCCATAAGATTAACATGGGAAAGAAACATTGTTATGAAACTCCAGCTGTTGTCAGAAATTAAAAGTGAGAAGAAGATATGTTAATTGTAAACAATCAATAAGTTTGCTAATTTAACAGTTTGCTACAAACGTTTACTGACTTGGTTGAAATGAAATTTTACTATTTGAATTTGAGTTGGCGTAAGTATTACAATGGAAAAAAGCGAGAGAGCCTGGATAAATTGATGCTCTAAAAAGAAAACTGAATCCATACTGTGCTGAATTTCTTATAGTAATCATTGAAAGAGCCGATTTGCAAACTATGGAAACATAGGAAAGTCATAGAACACCCCCAAGGAGAAGAAATAGAAATAATGTTGTTTTTTTTTTAGAATTTATAATCGTTATTATGGACAACCTAATGCGGCTATGAGTAAGGCTATTTGTAAAAAACAATAAAAACCAGATCAGCTTTTGAAAAATGATAAGATATTTACAAGAAATGTTGATTATATCAATCTGTTATGTGCATCTTCAGTATTTCCATAATCTTTGAGTCGAATCTTTTAAAGTCATCAGAAATTATGACTGTTATTCGTTTTAAAATAACGCCTGTAATACTTGGCAATTGCTTGAATTCGAGCAACAGGGACTCTAGTAATTTATAAATATGTTGAGAGAATAAATAATTGTAATATTTGAAACAAAAAAACGTGGGGCGCATGCAATAGATCATAATAGTTCAATAGGTGAAGTTAATTGTAAATTAGCTATTTTCTACTTTTTAGTGCGTTTAAAAATGTGACATTTTAAAAAAGTATTTCTATTTATAAATTCTTAACCTAAAATTGATTTATTGTGAGGAATGTCTGTAGTGACTTTTTAATACCTTTGATGCTGACTCAGATCAGCTGATTTTAGTCTGAATAATTTATTGTGATCAGTGATCAATGAATGACAGCTGAGCCTAATTTAAAACCAACAAAAACTAGATTTGTCTCAGAAGTAAACTAGCATTTTATTTAATTTATTTGTTATTACTAGTCAAACTGTATAACTTCGCTAACTGGCCCTTTATATTACCAAAGCTTATCGTGCCATTCAAACCAACACAGATTAAGCCTAGGTTATGTGTTATTTAGTACTGATAAAATAAAATATCCTTTACATATAATTAAGTATCAGGACACCCACAGTACTACGAAGTTTAATGAATGTGTTTATTTTATATCGCAATCCTATAAAGGCAAATTCATGTTTTACTCCACCCACTACCATATAAAGCCTGTACAAGATATACTTATTTTAAATAATTCTAACTAGTACGTATATTGGTATTTGGTGTACAAAGTTGTTTAGACACCTATAAGATTACGTCTGTAAACAGAGTTATCTTCAAGGCCTATTATTGTAATGAAGCGTCAAGAGTAAAACGTCTTTGCTCATGTGAGACACTCAACAGTGCTGTTGATTGTTGTTTGGGTCAACAGGCCAAAGATAAGATGAGAGATGACATCATAATGGGGTGATATATTAACAAGTCTTGCCAATCGACAAGCAGTTTACAAGTGACATTTGTAGTAGTGACATTGTCAACATGTGCATCACGGATTCTGACTCTACTTTTGAAATTTTCCATTTCAGTTACGACTTGGACCAAAACACTTTCTCGCCACCCACAGAAGACGACAGTTTCTTTTTTATCAGATACCCCAAAACGGATTCAGGACCAAAGCAAATTGAAAATGACAACCATCACGGACCAATATACAGGAACCTCAGTGAAGTACTGGAAAACCACACATTGCCTTGCCAGGAGTTCATACCCGCTGCTAAGTCAAGTGAGTTAAAACCTCTTATATCATACCCCTTAAAATAACACAGTATGTTAACTAACATGTAATTCATTATTTTGTACTTTATGTCATTTAAATATTTTAATCCAACATAAATCATATTTTTTTTAGAAATGTGTATAATTTAAAATATTTTTTGTTTGTTTAGTAAAATGTTGATTAGTATAATTAAAGTAATCACCATTGAGTGAACAATTTCCTGAGGATATGTAATAAGACTATGTAAATAATGAATAGCATCAATGTGTTTGTACCAAGTGCATGTAGAACGTAGAGTAGTGTGGTGTAGTGAATGAGTCATTAGCCTTGAGCACAAGGTTTCCTCGCTCTCTCTTCCTCCTTCCTTCCACCATCCAGCCACTAACCAGTCACTACTCAGCAGTCAGTCTTCCCCAGACACACAGTGCAGTATGGAAGTTTCATACTTTGTGCAATCCCTAACAATTAACGCTTTCTCTGAGCCTTTTACTATACCACGGTTGATTAATTTATAACTTCAAATTTTAAACATCCATTATGGATGGGTGTAGATGTTTTGTCTTCTTTATTCTTCGTGGTAAGTGACTTTAAATTAGTTTGTTAGTTAGTTAATTAAATTGGCTATCATCCTATCATTTAATATTTCTATTTCTTAATTTATTTTGTGAAGATAATCCGTTGTTACGTGTTACATTTTCCCATTATCTGTTGTAGTTTAAACAAAGATTCTTATTGTGACATTTGTATTTTAAGCTTTCTATATTAATATAATATACTTATGTGCTAGGAGTATGTTGAATGACTTTAAATGATCTCAACATTTTCAAAAGTATCTGTTGGTTATTAATTATCGTAACTGTACAAAATAAAATACCTATTTTTACATTGAAAGTGAACAGTACTCCAGCCAAACCTTACTGTAAATCTATTATTTATATGTCTTATATATCTTTAGTTAAAAAGTGAGTTCATCATGCTATTTAAATGTGCCTATATTTTGAATTACTTCCATTCATCACATGCCAGTAGTTTAATCAATCTCTGCCCACAGTTTTACTCTCATAGATGAAAACACTCTTGGATTTTTTCTAAACACATTTGCTAGTACATCAGAAAGTAAGGTTGTGTTTGCCCTACAGCCCCACGGGAGTTGGGGTTGAAACGGGGCCCATTGGAGCCGCCTCTGGGAAAGCCCAAGTCTACAGGGACAGACGACGGGTTCCATAGTGCAGCAGCAGCGTGTGGCCACTCTGTAGTGGCTGTGGCTCATCAGATCATAGCGGGGGGCAAACTACTGCCCCGCTACCCTCGCCAAAACTCCTCCTCTAGCCTGGAACCTGATGATGAGCCGGCCACTCCCCCCGCCTCTCACATGCTGGCCAGACGCCGAGGCAGCAAGTCTCTTCCCTCCAGTCCACAGACATCCCCCAAGACACTGAGGAAGAATCCGTACTTCACCAATGTTTTGTTGGGTATGTATCTGAATTTAATTTTTTTATCCCTGAATTTAGGCACTCCTGACTTTGAAGTCATTTTTATAAAATGTCTATATATAAAAAAAATCCATCAATTAGTTGCTTACACCCATAATAATGTATAAATTATAGCTGACACTATGGTTACAACTAGTGGCGTAAGCAACTATTCAACGAGTTTGCTGCAGTTGTGCGAAGGGGGGAGCAGCCAATGCGCTATGTGAATGAGTGTGTGAAAATGTTTAAATTTATTTTCATCCAATAGGAGAGACATATGTTAGCATGTACTGCATTTTAGTCATTTTGGACGTAGTTTTACAAGAACCCCACAGATAACAGCACTAGGCAGCAGGCACTCAGTATGCCAAATGGAGGGACGACAAACCCGGATACACCATCAAAAAATATTGCAAAAAGGCGTCGAGTACAATTTTGAGGTTAGGTTCTTTCCACAATGCTTCACTACAGTTATTATTATCATTATTCTCTTCCATTTCACTAAATCCAAGCCAAAACTAAATTTGGAACAGTCCCTTCCACCAAGAAAATAGTCGTATATGAAAACAAATTTTACTGGATTGAAGATAAAACTGGTACAATAAGCGGCTTTCGGACACAAGGTTTCCCATGTGAGGCTGAGCTCACACTAAAGCAAGCTTGTTGTTATGGGAGGAGGACTAGAATTACTGCTCAACGGCACACTCAAAGTGTTAATTATGTAATTTCCATAGTGAACAGTATTTAAGAGAAGTAGTATTATAACTTCTGCCAGAAAGAACAATACTCTTAATGAACGATTTTTTTCTAACTAGACTCTCTCTGGTTCAGATTATTTTGGCTTGGACTTGACAGCTACTTGGGCATGACTTACACAGTCACAGTACAAATTCATTATAAATGATAAATGGTTTTGAAACACAATAGCCTACATAATCTTGTTTCCACAGTTTGGCTTTTAAGTACTAACTTCTGATGGGTCGGAGTAATTTCCTATTTGATGGTGTCCAAATGAGTCGGATTCAACTTGATTAGTATCTTTATAGTAGAATCATATTTATTATTAAATCATCTATTAGGTAATGTAAAATTCCTAATACATTATTAGAGAGTATACAGATAGCCTACTCATGGTAAATAATAGTAATTTAAAAATGTGTCCCGACTGTTTGCTGTACATACTTTGTTATACATATCACTTACCCTTAATCAAGTGATGAATTACAACCAAAATGGTAAGATTTTCCAAAATTATTCGATTTCTGACCAAATAAATACTAAATTATTATTTTCATGCTGCTCAGGATATAATATTGAAGAAAGTAAGTAGCCAATATTTTTTGATATTTTAAACTTGCTATTGTAATAGGATGGGTACCTGTAATCACTAGATCACAGTCATATTAACTCATCATAATAGATTAACACGTTCGTTGCTACGGACATTCCGGAACGTCACTGTTCATTGTTGTATAACGTATCCATGGATAAACCAGCTCGTCACAAGAGTCCTATATTTCTTACAATAAAAAATATAGTTTCCCAAAATCACCACCAGGTTCGTTTGGAACAGGGCTTTGTCCCACCTCTTTCCTGCTAGATAGCGACACAAATTTACTGACTGCAACATGGGTAGTGCTGCTATCTATCAGAATCACTTAGTACTATGTCCAAAGCCAGTTTTATTGCAGAACATACTGTAATTCAGTGTATCGGCGGCAATGTCACACAGCGGCCGAGCGTTAGTTCAGCTCCTGGCACCGTTCCGGCATATAGCGGTTAGCAGCGAACGTGTTAAGATTGAGGAGGTTGTGAAAGGGACAAACAATTTGTTAACTGTACATTTATAAACAAATTCTTGGAACTAGTATTCAGTGAACCTGGCAGAGGTCGCATTGAATTGAAAACGTGAGGAGTCGCACACAGTCTTTTTGACCGAGTACAATTAAAAACCCATATTTCAGTAAGCATTATATTTTATGTCCTCAAAATTGTAAAAATGGTCTAATTTACAACCTTGATTTAATTTTATAACCTTCTGGATATGCTTTAGATAATACAGTAGACCTAACCGACCTAACGGGACCGGACCTAGGACGGATAACACAAAAGGTCTGTTAAAACGGGTAACCCCTAAAAACATAACAATATGATCTGCTGCCCATTTGGAATTATATAATCATTATTTTGAAGTCATACTTGCATTATTTATGAAATAAACTACACTTATCTCCTTTTTTTGTATTGATAGAAAAGTTACAATTTAAAACACAAAACACGGTTAAGTCAAATACTTTAGTGGAATAAATTACAGTTGTAGGCAAGAGTCAATAAAAAATCTTATTTTATTAACTTTAGTACTGTAATTTTAATTGATGCTTCCAAATCTATCGTTACACAGTACATAATATTTTGTCGAAATTAAAGATACGAGCAAACATTTTGTTACAAGACAGGAGTCACAAAAACTATCTTCACCATGGAGTAGTTAACCCCCTCCCCTGTCCTCCCTACAAGTTGTGTTGTTTGTTTACTCTACTTATAAGACAATTCTCGATTTATTACAAAAATAACAGCTGTTTTCAGATACATAAATTTTTGGGATGGATACAAAATAACTTATTTTTAGTCACATCCTGTGGAGATAAGCATCCTGTGGTTCCCATTGCCGAGCGTGGGGTGGGAATGCCGAGATTCCTAGAAAGCCGCAGTTAAACCAAACTACTCTCATAGCAAGGTCGGTTAAGCCCCCCATACACAGGCGAGCATATTCACGAGCCTGTTGGCAAACACGCTCCCGACCATGCTCGGCGTTTCCAACAGACGGTCGAGCATGCTCGCGAACATGCTCAGTGATTCCGACAGACGATTGAACATGCTCGTGAAAATGCATCACAGTACTCATGCGCTGTGACAGTCGAGTTGTGTTTAAAATAAATGCTAATGCTGTTTTGGCTATTTGTGGTAAGTTTGTTTGTTTAGAAGATGAGAAAAAACACAAGCCACGAAAAATGTAGTATAGGAATTGGTATAAGAATACGCTCACGCACATGTTGGTCGTCCCCACAGACAGGCGAGCATGTTTGTGCTGGGGCTCAGGCTCGCCGGGTCCGATGAGCCGAGCGCCGAGCCCAACATGCTCGCTGGTACAAAGGCTCGCAGACCCCATACACGGGCGAGCTTCAAATATCCTCACTAAACGTTCTACATCCTCATCTCACTCAACACTCGATGATGGACTATCAATCCTATAGGCCTATTTTACTTATTAGATTCCAAGTCTAGCCACTGAGAGGTACATAAATACTTCTCTATGGCCCAGCATATAATTAAATGTTAATACTAATGGATTAAAACGGTAGCCAATCAACAATGAAAATAATAATAACTAATAACCATTAATTTACAAACCACGAGAAGACGCACAGGGTGGAATCGACCAGAACATGACAATATGCTGTTGCTAGACTAAAATGAGGAGGTGAAGGATGGCAAAAAGTTTGTCACAGTGTTCCTGGAATGTGGTGTGTTGTGCACAATAAAGGCTGACAATACCAACAACCAATAAATACAATTTTTTCACAAAAAAGTACAAACCCAGTCATTTAGACAGCTGCATGACCTCTCGAAGGTTAATTAAATTTAGGCCTAATAGTCTACTACTGAGTAATTGTTATGAGCCTGAGATTTTCAAAAAGTTTTTTTTAGCAGAGCTTTCTATATAATGAATTTGACGTAAAGCCACCTAATAAGTTAATTTTTAATTTATCACAATTTTTTTTCAAAATGCAATTTTACATGTTGCATACTAGCAAAATAGCAAGTAGCGTGTATGTAGAAATATCTCATCTAACGGATAAAAATAAAGTAATAAAATCAAACTCAGCTTATAGACCAGTCAAATTTGGGGTGCCTCAAGGTTCTATTCTTGGGCCTTTGCTCTGTTTGTGTTACTTGAGGGGCATGGAAAATATGATAATTCATAAAAAAAATTCAAAACTATGTCTCTACACTGATGACTAAAATTTAATTTTGTCAGCTGACTCATTGGAGGAGATAAAATTTGTTTCTTCTAATGAACTTAATTACATTGGAGACTTCTTACATGATCATAACCTTATTTTAAATTCTGAAAATCTAAGTTTATAACTTGTTTTTAGTAAAAAGGGCCTATTTACATAAGTTAATGTTTAGGGTCAAAATATAAACATTAATTTGACCTTTGATAGGAACATTGTTTTATATCAACCATACAGATTAGAGAATCTTTGTAACCTAAAGGCGGCTCCAGAAATGCGCCATTCGCCAAGCAATGAGCAGCGACTCGCCAAATCACGAGTAGTGTGGATAGGTGTTTGTCTATTTGGCAAGCAGCAAACATTCGTGCTCTTTTTTTACTTTCTCCCCCTATACCATAGTATATGGAGAAAGTATTGTTTTCGTCAAAATTTTCGAGTTTGAGTTTTGAGTGGATATATTCGTTTTGGGTCCCCCTGGACCCAAAAAAGTGGTTTTCGAAGTGATGTCTGTGTGTGTGTGTGGGTGTGTGTGTGTGTGTCTGTGTGTCTGGATGTGTACAGAGCTAGAGACCACACCTGTGGTCCGATTTCGATGAAATTTGGTATGTAGGTTCTAATCCATGGTATCTCCAGGCGTTTTTTTCATTTTTTTGAAATTTTGATTTTTAATGTGGATTTTCCCATAAAAGCCCATAAAAAACCTGAAAAATCTGATTTTCTCAAAAATGGCCCGAACGATTTTGATAAAAATTTAGTATGTTGTAGCCCTTTAAATTCTGAATAAAATGATACAAATCCCATATCTGTAAAAATTACGGTTCAAAAGTTATGGTCAAATATGTTATTTTCCCATTAAAAACCCCATAAAATAACAAAAAATAGGATTTTAGAAAAAAAAAACCGGCTTTGATTTAACATAGTATGTTATAGTCCTTACAGTTTTGATATTTTTTTTAATTTTTTATAATTTATTATTTTTAATGGGGATTTTCCCATAAACCCCCATAAAATAATGGAAAAATACGATTTTCCCAAAAATGGCCCGAACGATTTTGATAAAAATTTAGTATGTTATAGGCTAGTCCTTTATATTCTGAACAAAATGGTACAAATCCCATTTCTGTAAAAATTACGGTTCAAAAGTTAATGTAAATTATGTCATTTTCCCATAAAACCCCCATAAAATAACAGAAAAATCAAATTTTCCCAAAAATGGCCCGAACGATTTTGATAAAATTTTGCATCTTATAGTCTTTTAAATTCTGAACAAAATTTGTACAAATCCCATTTGCGTATATTTACCCTCACCACTTACACGTGATAAAGGTTGTTGACAAACTTATGGGAGAAAGTATGTGTCAGAATGCTGATACCGTTTATTCTCGTTCATTGTCGGTATTTTTGCACACATCAAAAGTGAACGAATATTTGCTATTTCAATGCTTGAAAAACAAACAGTTACTCTGAAAACAACAAATGTGTAGACGTCTACTCGTTTATCGGTGAATAGCAAGACATCTAGATTGCCGAATATCAAATATTTCGTGCTTGGCGAATGGAGCATGTCTGGAGCCACCTTAATGTGCATTTTACTTTTAAAAAATTTAAGTATTGGTTTAAAAGGTTAGATTGTTTTATGAGATTACATCCATGCTCTAAGCTAGATGTATTGTGGTGTAGCTAGATTTAATATTTATTAATTTATAGACAATTCTATAGGTTTTGTATTAGACAGTTTGTAAACATATTTTCCAGATAAGTTTAGTTTACTGGTACTTAAAATTTAAATGGCTCTCAAATTATTAAAAAAAATTCATTATTTATTATTTAACCCTCCAGCTGCTGATCGACTCGAGTGAGTCGATTGCCACACCCCGGCCGGCTGCTAGTCGACTCGAGCGAGTCGATACGTAAGGTGTCGTTTAATCTGCTTCACTCCGTTCCAGTGTACAAGAAACTGGATTGAGTTTGGTATCTCCGTAAACGTCAGATTTCAGGCTTTCTCCCGATACCTGTCTCTAATGCTTTAAAAATCAACAAAATGCTTTGTAAAACGACTTGCAAAATTGACTACGTCGCGCCAGCTATCTGCTGTCTACAAACAGTGCTAACCTGCGTAGGTACCGAGTCTGTTTGTTTATGTCATCCAAAGCGGTTTATAATGTAATTATTTAGTTTTTTTACGTAAATAATGGATAGTAGTGACATCCGTATGTGTTTTAGTAAGGATCTTAGTGATCCTGACGATGATTTGTTTTGTGTTGGTAATGAAAACATACGCATCCTAGGCCTAGGCCTATGCCTACTCTTGATCCTTGGGTGAGGGTTTCTGTATATAAATGAGATAATATTTTATTTTTTATTTTATGTGCATAAAAGGATATATTTTCTTGTTCCTTATTAAATTCGCTACAAAATGGCTATTTTCATTTTTAGTTCAGAGCAAAATAATTTTATTTTTATGATGTGCAAAGCTACAAAATGAAAACAAATTTATATATTTTGTTTGTTTACATCTTTAAAAATATTTTTATAGAAACATAACCATGCAATAATATGGTATGTTTTTGTAGATAATTTTATACTGAACAAGAAAATGTATAATATGTTATGGTTTGTTTAATTTTTAAACTTTATTATTAATTTTTTTTTGATTGCCGCAAATTGCCTAAAAAATGCTTAGCACCAAGGGCAAATATAACCAGCAGTTGGAGGGAAAATTTCATTTTTTTTTAAATTGTCATATATTATAAACTATGGTTTCATTATAAACTTTCATTTCTAGGGGCTTTATTGAGAATCAGGAACAAACTGGAGAATCAGTGTTTGGATATCTTTCTCTCAAATTATCAACTAAGAGTATTTCGGTGTCCGTTTATCTTTCAATCACCAAAATTACATGTTATTTCTAGAACAAAAAAACTTATTTATATGCTCTTGTTATAAAAAAAAAAACAATTGCCAACATAAAATCTAAATGTTTCCTTGACATGCCTGGGAGCACTAGCAACACTTGAGTGATGGAGCTTTTGTTGGCAGATATTTAAAAAGTCTACATATATTGTCTCATAGCTAATAGTTGTGTATGATGCTGTTGCAGGTTCATCAGACAATGTGTCGGATGCACATCAGTGCCGTGGGTGGTTGCTGTCGTATGTCAAGGAGTCCAAGAGTTTGCGTGGTTCATTGTCTGACCTCAAGATAGCAGAGGAGAGTGATAGCCCAGTCCCGGCTCCCCAGCCTAAGATCATCAAACCCAAACAGGTCAAGCCAAAACCTTCTCAGCTGCGTGAAATGAACTTCTGGTCTCCAACCTCCATGTAGTCATTTTATATTTATTTTATTTATGCAATAATCTTAGACTGGTGTCAACAATGTTCTACACACTATTTTACAAACACTCGTTCCATATTTTATTCACTTTCTCTTTCTGGTATTTTACTTTGCCACTAATTTAATTTACTACTTAATAAATTATTTTTATTTATTTAATGTGATATCAAAACTTATTTATTTTTAGGCTACGATTGAATCCCAGTTTAAATTGGATTTTGAGGTTTCAATATGTATGGTTTCTAATGAGACTAAGTCAAAGTTTTTGTTTTCCGGTTAGAAATGCAATAATTTAAGGTGTTGAATATTGCCAGTTAGACTGTTCTTTGAGACAGAATTTGTATTTTATGTCTTTCTTTTTATCCATTCTTTTAAGTGCTGGATGTATTTTTGGCATGTTGCACCACGATATCATAATATTACAAAGCATATTTGTGTTATGTATTATCGTTTTCAAATAGTTTTAAAAGTAGCAGTTTTTAAAAATGACTTCAATTTGTTAATAACATTGTTTTGCGTTTATATATTTGGACTGTTGTTACATCGGTTTAGTACGGTTTTCAATTAAATTATTTATAATGAGTTAGTTGAGGTATTTACAGAATATTATGTATAAACAAGCATGTTGACTGATATTATGTATTTTATACTCATAATAAAAAATTGTGGTTTAATGTTAAAACTACTTATAAGGAGATTGAAAAAATTGGATTGTTTTCTTCATATAAAAATCTAATTTCACTAAAAGTAAATGTTGTCCCCAGTGTTTAATAAATATTGATATGTATATATTGTGTAAACAGAAGCTATAAATATTTTTATTTTTGCACACTAGAGTGTAGGCCTAAACAGTATGTATGTTGTGTCTTGTGGTTATCAGTGGATGCGCCAAGCCTCTAATGCAATAATGTGCTTGGTGACTGAGTGATTTTACTCTTTACCTTTTTTGTTTTTCTGTTATTTTCTTTACAGTGTGATCTGTCTTTTTTTAATAAAAAGAATTCTTCAAACATATTTGTCTTCATTTTACAAACCTTCAATTTTTTTTAGTTTAAAAGAGTGGATCAGACTTTTACAAACAGAAAGACATTATAGTATATACTAGCTGTTGTACCCGTGCTTTGCAACGGGAAGAGGACACAAAATAGAAACATTTTAATCTTTACATCTGTTGCTATAATAGTTACACATCCCCCAACGCTTTTAGAAACAAAATTCAACTTTTATGGCCAGCTAATAGAAATGTTTAAGTTATGACTTTAATCTGGTAAGCAGTGGATACCACCATTTCATCTCCCTTAGTAACATATCTTTTTATTTATTATTGACATTTTAAATTTCAATTTTGAAGTTACTACTAATTATTAAATTTATATGAACATTTTTTTTAAATGTCACTCTTCTTTACCCTATATTAAATCACAAATACTTCCATCTTCAGTTACTTCACTCACAATAAATCATTAGCACAAACTAAGTCAGCTGTTATAAACTTTAGAAATATTGCTATGCCTTTTCAATACAGTCTTTTAAATATTAAAGAAACTATATCTACAGGCACTATAAAAAATGTTAAACAAATAATTTAGCATTAAAGACAGCAGACAAAACTAATATGATTATCAAAGCATCAATGCCTAAACAATTTAACAGCAAATACAGTGTATATGTTTCATTGCATCTCTGATTCTACTCTAAAAAAATATCAACAAACAACTTAATATACAAACCAGTTCTTTTATGTAATCAGTTCCATCGTCCATTGGCTTTACATTTTCACACTTACCATAAAGTAAACATAGTAACAGATATTTCATTGATTTTAGAAACAAAAGAACACTTTGTACTGCTTAGTTTTATGATATTTTCCTTGGTTTAATTTAATCAGTGGTGTAGCAAAATAATAAATGTATCAAATAAAGTAAATGTGAACTGAAAGCTATGTTAAGATAAAATAAGAGTATTTTGTATTACCATTTGATAATTAATAATTATAATTACATACAACAGTTAAAAAAAAATCAACACAGTACAATTTAGTTATTGGTGATATTCTTTAGTTTAATTTATGCATAGGTTTAGCAAAACACAATCACTTAATTTACCTAAATACACATATAAAAAACAATGTGATGTGCAAGTTATGTTAAGTTAATCTAAAACATGTTAAGGAGTTGGAGTTAGAATTTATTTAAAGTAGCCTCCAAATCCATATAAAATATCTATACATTGTAATTTTCATACTGTTTCCATCAAATCACATTAATAACATTATTTTCATAACTTTTAAACGCTTAAAAAAAATCCAAATCAGAGCCGGAATTGATACAGCAACGGTTATAGAATCTTTTTTCATATAATCATTGACATATTTTTAGAATAAATAATCCATGATAAAAGGTTAGATTAAAATAAACCTACCTCATAGTTATGGAAAATATTATATTTAATTTCTTTGTATCAGCTGTCTGAAATTGTGAAATATGCAGTTTAGCAGTTCTTCTTGTTTACATTTAAATGACAAAGCAAATGTAAACAAACATTGTTAAGTGTTCTCATCTGCAGCCATGGAGACTAATCAATATTTACTTTTAAAATCTTCACCTCACAACCTTTAAAGCCAAAGGGGCAAAGCCTACGGTCAGTATCGAAATGTGAATAGTCCTATAATGGTCCTCGGTATGGTAACTATATTTTTGTAAAATTTTAGTCCAGTTTGTAAAGTAGCTTTTGCACCTATTAGTAATACACATACAGACACCATTAGATTTTTATATAATAGTATAGAGTATAGATATAGATTGGAGGGGCTTAGTTAAAAGTACTCATATTTACTCTATCTAAGTTACCGAAATGCAGGGCCGGCCTGAGGGATGTGCGACGTATGCAGCTGCACACTCGAGTTTTTTGGAGGGGCATAAAATTGACCATTCTTGATCAAATTTTTTTTTAATTGGCAAATTTGTGGAAATTGATTTGAATGTTGGGCAGCAATATTTCAAATAGAAGGAACATTGTCTCAAAACTGTTACAGTTGAATTTAAAAGTTTAAACCGAAGAGTTCTGAAATATATTAGCCTGATGCCCTTGACCAACATCCAAGGTCAGTAGAGCCCGTCTACGTCTACCAATGAAGCGGGACGCGGGAAGGGTTGTGGTCGTGACGTATTTCATTGTTAAGTGACTAAGAAGCTTAACATCAGTGGTTTAAGGTACCTACAAAAAAAGAGTATTTAAACCTATCAAGTCAGTCAATACTACATCAAATTGAAGGACAAAGATTTAATGTTCTAAAAGAGGCTCAAAAGTGCAATAAAAACTGTTTTAAGACCTTAAATTTCAAAACTTTTATGGGGGAAGACCCCCGGACCCCCCATTTCACCTGGGGGATATTCCCTTCCCCCCCCCCCCATAAAATGTGAGTCATGCACACATGCAATTTTTTTCTTAGGCCGGCCCTGCCAAAATGCCAATGTTGTATGGTACTTGTGATTATGTTAGTGGATCAAACACACACAAATTTTTTAATTACTTTGGGAATATGTCCCGGTCACAGCAAACATGAAGAATGTTAAAATAATAAATATCTATATTATTAATAACTAGGTGGCGTTCGCAGACGCGTCCACAAAATTGAGCGGAGTCATCAGGGCATCATATTACCATTGACCCTTACCATCATCACTTATCATTATTTTTTCCTAAAATTTCGGCTTCTACCATTTTGGTTAAACTTACTGAGTATCCTGGATCTAAAAACAGTTGATCGTTCAGACGCGGCTCACTGCAACATACGTCAACCTAGCACTGAATTCTCTTGGTCAAATATAAACAACTGCTTGGTTCAGAGTCATGCCTTGGAATTTGTGAATTGTGGGACAATAGGCAGTTGTCAATGGAAACTGTTTTCGAGTGCACTTTATGTCACGTTTACAAATTACCATCTTATACCATCTTAGACCTACCACATTATTGTATGACAAAAAGTATTTCAACTAATACACATATATGCTGCATTTCCAACTGTGATAAGACTTCTTCGTTTGTATAAAATATCGTGGATAGTGTTTAGCGAAATATTGACTAATGTTGCATCGGTCTATAAGTTGTGGCCTAACATGTCTCTACATCCTTTGGTCTGGGGTTGTTTTCAAGAGATTGGCATTCATCGGAACTCACTATGGCGGCATGTTTTTTTTTGTGGCATTAATGAATGCCACAGGACTTTGCAGCTTAGCCAATTTGATAAGTTTGTAGGTACTGTGGTCACGTTTACTTTTCTTGCCATGACACGAACGAATACGCGAAGTTTTCGTAATGAATGAAATGAAATTAATTTATAATCCTTCTCCTTCGTTCCATGAGCAATGTTAGTAAGAGGATTAAGAAAATGACTTTGATCTTCACCGTATTGATAGTTTTTAGTTGAAAAACTTGTGTTGGTATACTAAACGTCCAAGTGTATATCATTGATTCGAAAGATCATGATTGCATAAAGCCTGATCTTGCACCGGTAGTAACTGAGCCATATCACCCAACATACAATAAGACCACCAAACACTCAAAAAACTCAATAACTATTGGTTGTCAGGTTTCGATTGACGTAGGCCAAGCGTTTGTCTATCATTCAGTTCTAGTACTGTAGCTTATGACATCACATATATACTATTTCATTGCAAACTAGGACACGGACGTTTTTGGAACATTTTACGTTTATTAAAATTTTGTATATTCAATCTTAGTGCTAATTGAATTGTTATTTGGCCATTAACTAGAAGCAGCACAACCAGTTGGTGCTAATACGAGAAGACTGACGTCACCGTAGGTTGATTCAGTGGTTGTATTTACAATCTCATTTTTATGTCTTTTTTCTCTACAATCATAACATTGTCTAGTTTGCATGATAAAACTAATCCAACACTTATACAAATGCACTAATAATTAGCTTGTTCTGTGGGTAATACGTATTTAAACATGTTCAAACTGAAACCAAGAATTAATTATACACACTTAACTGTACAACAAGATGATACTCAAATATTATAACAGAAACGGTATTGATCATAATATACAAATGACTCCATTAGCCTGAAAACAATACGTTTGTTGTTATTTAAACTGAACCATCAAATAGCCCAAACCATATGTTAATGTTATCGGTGGCTTGATAAGAGCTATTGACGTCATTCTTATGTTTATGATACAAATAACTCCACTAGCCTGAAAACAAAACGTTTGTTGTTATTTAAACTGAACCATCAAATAGCCCAAACCATATGTTAATGTTATCATTGGCTTGATATGAGCTATTGACGTCATTCTTATGTTTATGATACAAATGACTCCACTAGCCTGAAAACAAAACGTTTGTGTTGTTATTTAAATTAAACTGTCAAATAATAGCGTCCAAACCATAATTATGTTAAATGTTATCTATCAGTTGTAAAGAAAAAAATAAAAAAAACTCTCTCATATATTTAAATATTATCTATATAATTAATACGCTACATGAAACTTTGTCGGTTGAACTCCTCCGCCATTTCTTAACCGATTTTATCCATTGACGTCTCATTGGAAAGAGCGTGTCGCGTAGATTTGCAAACTGGCCTTACACTTTTGACAAAGTCCCTTGGGTTCTGCCCCAGTGGCTTTGAAAGTTCCCATGCTATCCTTATGAAGAACATAATTGTTTACATTTTGATCAGCTGTATAATTTAATTGCTGTTATTTATTTTTCGAATCAATGAAACGCATTGAGTAAATTTATTTACTATTTGAGTTTGTGTAAACATAACCCCCAAGACGGATCATGTCAGTATGGTTGTATCTTAAATTTGTGTATTTATCGTTGTTTTGTGTCGCTATGTCGCTATATTATTTGTTGTTTTATTCTTTTAAATGCCTCCGCCGCGATGACAACGACACATATAAAATAGACAGGAGGTGTAATCGTGATAACGACCGCAGCTACAGAACAGTGGCGCGTAATAGGCTCAACTCCTCACAGTCA